TCAATGCTGAAAATCATTTAAAGTTGCTATTAATATTATTTAGTGGTGGTAACAAAAGACTGTGCAATTAACTTTGAGGAAAACCAAAATAATGATTAACAGTTTTGAATGCTTATTATGTTCTAGGCCTTTTGCTAATTGCTTTTCCCACTTTATTAACTAGATCTTTACATTATCTTTATGGGTAAGTACTACCACTCTTAGCATTTTATAAATGAGGAAACAAAGGATCACAACATTTCATTAACTTATTGATGCTTGATGAGCACCACTGACAATTACAGTAATCTGAAAAACACAAAATAAATATTTAAAAAGAAAAGATAAAAATTCATTTGTAGATAATATGACCACATATGTGAAAAAGAGAATGAACTGGACATGTGTTAGAAATAAAGATATTACAATATTCACTTAGTTAATAAATATACATTCTCATCCATAAATAATAACTACTTAAAAGTATAATGGTAGCAAGGTGTCAATTATAGTTTGAAACAAGAAGATTATAGAAACAAACTTTATAAGGAATATGTGGGACATTATAAGATGAAAATTTTTCAGAATCATTGGAAAGACATTAAAAAAGCCTTCAACAAATTGTAATTCTAATCAAAGAAATATGGACTTAGTATCATCATAAATTCTTGTATAAAAATAAAGAATCTTTTAAAACCAACAAAATGAAACAATGTTATTATATTAACCTGGACAAAAAGGCATAAACCTAGCCAGAAATATTCTTGGAAGAAGAGTTTGTATTATACCCCATGATAAAACATATGCTAATTCATACCACTTTGATGATGACCCAGGAATACACAGAAAATATCAGTGGAAGAGAAAGTTCAAAAATAAGCCCAAATACATATGGGCATTGCCATAAAGAGAGCATTTCAAAGCAGTGGGGATAAAGACAAAATTTTCAATAAATCTGTGATAACTACATAGTCATTTGAAAAAAGTATGACCACATCTCCTCCAAACCACTTCTTACATAAAAATAAACTCCAGATGGATCAAAGATTTAAAGTAAACAATGAAGCCATAAAAGTACTGGATGAAAACGTGACTGAATTTATTTATAACCTGGAGATGGGGATGGTTTTCCTAAGCATACACAAATTTTAGAAACCATAAATTTAATGATTTAGACAAAGCTTACAAAAACCCTTTTAGCAAAGCCTAAAACATTATGAATAGGAGAGACATTTAACAAATCAGAGACCCACAATTTTAAAAAAGAAGAAAATATCTGTATATAAGTACAAATAATATATAGTGAAATACCATTATGTAAAAATATGATAATTTAAAAACTGAGAACAATTTAAATACCATTTTGGTAAGAAATTATTGAAATGAATTGTGGTATATCTAAGTAGTGTAATAATATGTAGCCAACTAATTTAAAAATTGGGGGATCTGAAAAATATGAATATTTTATCGGTTAATCAAATACATAATCATACCATTTTAGAGAATAAGAGCCATAAGTAAAGTTTAGAGGTGTATATTATAGGACAGAATACTTTTTCCTAAAAGCATTCAAAAAAGGTCAGCCTTGTGGAATAAAGAGATGTTAAGAGAGAAATCAAGGGGAATACATTTTAAACTAAGAAATAAGAAACCCAAAGGAGAGTCGGAAGAGACTGAAAATTTCAATAGTTTTGGTTGGAGTTTTAGGACAACAAAGAGGAATTTTTGAATAAAGATAGATGAAGGGAAAAAGCAGAATGTAGTTTCTTTTCCAAAGGCTTTAATTGTCTTATTGAGGAGGATGCAAGCAGCAGGATTTGCTGTGAACCAGCCAGCCAGGCAGGAGTAGATTCTTCCCCAAAATGTTTAATTTTAAACTTCTCAACATGTCAAGAATTAGGAATCATTATTCCCATTTTAAAAGTAAAGAACTGAGGTTGGAAAAATTAAATAATTCACCCAAGTTCTCACAGTAAGTAACAGAGTTGACATTTAAATTGGATAACCACGTAATTTATGATATAAATTGGGTCACTTTGAGAGAGAATGGGACAACAAGCTTAAATCAATTCTGTCATGGCAAACAAGGAAGAAAGGTCACCCTACATTTAAACCCAAGGCTGTCTCCAAAACCTACATTCTGACATCAATTACCTTTCATAGATTGACACACACCAAGATTTTCTTTAAGAACTGTGTTGTGACCCAACAAAAACGTTAATACGGCTCTCAAACATTATTTCAACATCAAAATTAGGTGAGCAAGCTCTGTTAGCTCACCTGGCTGACATCTCTATCCACAGAATTGATCTGTACAGCTTATTTTATAGTCTTTACCCGGGTACACTTAAAATGACCCAAATCTCAAATGCTTTCAGTGTTCTCATGGAATATTGTTCTATAAAACAAAAGTTATTGTTCTATAACTTCAGAATTTGAATTCCACAGCATTTATCCTCCAGAAACTATATTTTACCACTGTTAAGCCTAAAGCAGTGCACCTGATCTTTTCTAGGTAAAGATTATAGGTTGATTTATAATTAGCACTATAAATATTATAAATAACATGATTTTGAAGTTATTTTCCTTTTGCAGGCAGAGAAAACTGCTAGCATAAAGTAATGGCTTAGAATTGTACATGTTTGCAAAATATTCTCCATCAAAAAATGTCTGTGGAAATTGATTATATTTCAGACATCTATTATTTTGCTTGTCTCTTATGTTAAGCCAATCACCTTATTCTTGCCTCCTTTCACTTTTTTTCCTCCCAGGCCATGTGCACATTTTCTTGTCATTAAATACAAAAACGCAGTAGGGGCATTCTAAAAAAGTGCTGAAAATTTCTATGTCTTATTTTAAAGAGGATGGTGTATATATTCATAGTATTTAAGTATTCATGATAAAGATTGTTATTTCCTTTACTATTATAGGGTTTCAATAAATATGTCACATGGAATAGGAAATGTGAATGACCTCTCTCTCTCTCTCTCTCTCTCTCTCACACACACACACACACTCACACACACATACACACACATACAAAAAAACCCACCATTCTAACTTGTATTTTTATGAGTTCAACTTTTTTCAAATTTCAGATATAGGGAGACCATGCAATATTCTTCTTTCTGCACGTTGCTTATATCACCTGGTATAATGTCATCCAAGTCCACCCATGCTGTCTTAAAGGCTGATTAACATCCATTGTTTATGTGCACCACATTTTCCTTATCCATGCATCTGCTGATGAACACTTACGTTGACTTAATATCTTGGTTATTATAAATAATACTACAATGAGGCATGAACCATGGGAATACAGATATGTCCATGACATACTGATTTTATTTTCTTTGGATACCTACCCAGGAAGAGTACTACTGGATCATATGATCATTCTAATTTTCAGTTTTTGAGGAACCTCCGTACTGTTTTCTTTAGTGGCTCTGCTAGTTTGTACTCCCACCAAAAGGCTACAATGGTGCATTTTTCTATGCATCATTTAATACATTAAATGTATATGTTTATAAAAGCCACTTTTGTAGGAGTGAGGTAATATTTCATTGTGTTTTAATTTTCATTTCTTTGATGACTAGTGAAGTTGAGCATTTTTTAATGACCCATTTGTATATCTTCTTTTAAGAAATGTCTATTCAGATCTTTTACACATTTTTAAATTATTTTGTTATTTTTGTTTTGGTTTTGAAGTCTTTGTTTTGTTTGTTATTGAGTTGTTTTAATTCATTATATATTTCTAATATTAGCCCCTTTTCTGAGATACGGTTTGTGAATAATTCTCTTATTGCATATATTGTCCTTTTATTCTGGGTCAAAGATGAGTTGACATAAATTGTTATTTTGTACTATAAATGTTATAGAAATTTTTGGATACTTGCATATAATTGGCATTTTTCTTTATCTCCTTATTTCCAGAAATTCTTAATTGTTATTTTAATCAAACTAACACCAGAAGAATACAACTGATATTTCAAAAAACACAAACATTTTCAGAGGCCATGAATATCAATGCCAACTAATTTTCTTTTTCTCCTCCTTTCCTTTCTTTCTTCCTTTTTCCCTTCTTCTCTTACAAAAGATGGAGAACTTTTTTCTTCACTTTTTCCTTTTGTTCTCACTCCATCTTTTGTAAGAAAGTAATTTTTTGTTTCTTTCTATTTGTACATTTTCTCTCTCTCTCTCTCTCTCTCTCTCTCTCTCTCTCTCTCTCTCTCTCTCTCTCCCAACAAATTGGCCCATTCTATGACAGTCACCGCTTCAGGGAAATTGATCACAGAGTTAAATAAATAAAGGCTTCTAACTTTATAAAGCTCACAATCTAATCAGAAAATATAAATAAATTATATAAAGTATTCTGAACATGACTTGGAAAAAGAGTGGCATGAGATAGACATTTTCTGATGAACAAAATTTTGGAAGAATCTGTTGCCAATAACTAATATTTGCTCTTCAGAATAAAGGGAAATGTAACCAGATAAAATAAAATGTTGAAGCCCTTTTGAAAATGGTAAATATGTGGATAAACATAAGATAATATCATTTTGTTCTCATATTTTTTTGAAAAGGCAACAATGTGATTACCAATTTATGATTTAAAAAAATCTCAGCAAAGTGTAGATAGATGGTAATTTCCTTGTCTATGAAAAACTACAGCTAACAACCTAATTAATTGTGACATACTGAACATTTCCATACAGCCAGCAGTGTGGCAGAGATAGCTTCAATAATCACTTTCAATTCAGGTTGTACTTCAAGTTCTATCCATTGTGGGAAGAAAAAAACAATACATAGAAAGCATAAAGATTTGGAAGGAGAAAGTAAATCTGTCTGATTTTGTAGATGACATGACTGATTACATTAAAAAATCCTAACAAATTTGTAAAACAAACTATTACTACTAATAAGTTAATTCAGCAAGGTCATGGGATATATGATTGATATATGAAAGTCAAATTTATTTCCATATAATAGCAAAAAACAATTGAAAAAATAAGTGGCATTATATTATCTCTTACTGCATAGAAAATCATCACAAGTTTAATGGCTAAATCTATAATAAACATTCATTATATCAAGCTGTTTCTGTAGATGAGGAACTGGAGAACAATTAGCTGGGTGATTCAGGCATGGGGTCTCTCAAGGGGTTGCAGTCTAGATGTCACTCTGAATGTCAGTATTCTAAATGGGCTGGAAGAGCTGCCTTTCAAGGTTCTGGTAGCTGGCAAGATGATGCTGGATGTTGGCAAGAGGCTTCATTCCCCCACAGCATCTACCTCTCTGCAGGGTCTCTCAGCTGTCCCATGGCATGGCAGCTACTTCATCCAAAGAGAGGGATCCAAAAGAGAAGTCAAGCCCTGCAGGGCCATCAGTCATCCCCATGTACCCTGGATACACAGGCAGGCATCTGTATTCAGTGGGGAATACCCATTCAAGGACAAACATAGTAAGAAGTGAAAATCTTTGGAGACTTTCCTTGCAGCTGATTACAACACATGCTATATACTATTGTGCCAAAAACTTAAGCAGCTTGTAAGGCTTTACACTAAAACTCAAATTTACAAGGAATTTGAGTAATACTTAAATAAATGAAAAGATACATTAGTATGGACTGTCTGTATGTGTCCTCCCTGAGTTCATATGCTAAAACCCCAACCCCCAGTATTTAAAGATAGGGCTTTGGATGTTATTATGCCATAAAGGTAGAGTTCCCTAGATGGGATTAGAATCCTTACAAAAAGGATTTTCCTTTACAAAAAGAGCTAGCTTGCACTCTTTTCTGACATGAGGATACCATGAGAAGTTGGTAGTCTGCAGCCAAGAAGAGGCCTCTCATTAGAACCCAATTATAGTGTTACCCTGAGATCCTGATCCTGGCAGACCTAAAAAACAAACAAAAAAGAAAGAGAAAAGGTCAGTTGTTTATAAGACACTTGGTGGTACTGTGTTATAGTAACATAAAGTGGCTCTGACATATGCTATATTAATTGATTGGAAGGGTCAATGAGGTAAAAGAGTCAGTTCTTCCCAAGTTAATGTATGATACAAATCAAATTGAAACCTAACCAGGTTTATCCTAGAATTTATAAAAAAAATTTTTAAAAATCCTAAAGTATCCTTGAAAAAACAAGAGTGGGACATGTACCACCTGATTTCAAGACTTAATAAAAAGCTATAGTACATTGGCAAGTAAGTTACGGAAAATAAAGATGGAGAGGTAGTTCAATGAAATAGAATAGAGCATAAAAAAATAGACATGTATGTATACAGATCTGTGTGTTATTCAATAAAGGACCAAGGCAACTTAATGCGGAAATAAAGTCTTTTGAGAAAATGGTATTGGAAAGACTGAATAAAAGTGTGAAAGAAAAATGAATAATATTATTCCCACCTCAACTCAAATGACACACAAAAGTTAAATTAAGATGAGTCATAGGCCTGAATGTAAAAGTTAAAACTCTGGTGGAAAACAAAAGAGGAGGTCTTTATGACCTTGGAGTAGGCAGCAATCTCTTAAAAAGGACAGAGTAAATACCAACTGTGGAAGAACAAAAAAAAAAGCATAGAAAATTTGACCTCACCAAAACTAACACTTCTGTTCTAAGAAATAAACATACAAACCTTGGAATGAAAGAAATATTTTTACACATCTAAATGATAAAGTACTCACATTCAGAATATATATAGAACTACTAAAACTTACCTTAAAAATAAGACATAAGAAATGGACAAACACTTGAATAACAATTTTGCAGAAGAAAATGTATAATTGGCCATAAGTACTTGAATAGCCCTTTTGCAGAAGAAAACATTTAATTGGGAATAAGGCATATAGAAATCTCAAAATCATTTAGAGTTAAGGAATTGCAAATTAAGACCACAATAATATACACTGCATACCCTTTAGAATGTCTGAATTTAAAATCCTGGCAATGCCAATGTTGTCAAGATTGTAGAGCAACTTAAACTCTGAAATATTGGTGGAGGAAATATAAAATATTTTAACCATTTCAGAATACAATTCAACATTTTCTTATAGTTAACCTGCAGTTACCATACAATCAATTGCACTTCTATGTATTTACCCAGTAGAAATGAAAGCATGCCCCCAAAAGACTTATTCTTGAAAGTTTATAACAGTTTTACTCATAATAATAAAAATGAAAACAGCAAAGGTGTCTATCAATAGGAGAATGAATAAACATAATGTGATATATTTATACAATGAAATACTATCAGAAGTTAATGTTAATTAATATTAACAATAAATAAATAATGTCATATAATTAATATCACTATACACATAACAACATGGATGAAACTCAAAATCATTATGATGAATGAAAAAGTCAGGCATGGAAGAATAGACACTGTATGATTCTCTTTTCATGAAGCTTAATAGGAAAAGAAATCCATGGTTTTAGAAATTGGAGTGGGGGTTGCCTACAAGAAGTGGAATCTGACTGGATGGAATGGACATGAAGGAGGTTTTCTGAGGTCATGGATAAGTTCTACTTATTAATTGGGGTGTTAGTTACATGAGCCAGAAGCATTTGTCAGAATTCTCAAGATCTTTGCATTTCATTGGGTATGTGAACTTTACCTCATTTTTTAAAGGAGAGGAAAATATTAAAAGAGTAAAACCACTGGGGAAGTGATTGCAGGAACCCAAATAAGAGAACCAGGGTCCCAATGAAGGTGGTGAAAGCAACATGTTTTGGAGTACAAAGATAAGACTTGCTAATGAATAGGGTGTGAGGAATAAGAAAAAGACTCAAGAACTATGAAGCAAGAGGTATTGGCTTTCTAGGGACCAGGTAAGCTTTCTAAAAGCATGCTCTTCATTTGACAGATCACCATCCCTGACACAACCTTTCAACATTTTCCTTAGTCCACCTTTATTAGAAGAAGAGAAAGTACTTCTTGATTTGAAATGTTAGTGCCAGTCCTTGCCCTCAATCCCCTTCCTCACCCTTGCCCAGCTCTGCTCTTTTACAACAGGAGGGAAGATGCTCCACTCCTTGGGCTCTTTCCTAAGCTACCTCTCTGATGGCTTCCGGTGGAGTCTGGTCAACAGAATGAATTGGAAGTTAACATGTATTCATGAGGCTCCTCCTGCTTCTGGCTCCAGTGACCTGCATTATCATCCAGGTCCTTCATCCTAGTAGAGTTCCTAAGACTGGGTTGCGTAAAGAGCCAGTTTCCTGTTGACTTTTCAGCATTTCCATCATATCTAGGCCCACATTTCTGCATTAACTTCCTTCTATTTTATGATTTTTGTTTTCTTAGTAATAGGAAAGAAACAGAGTAGCACTGGGACCAGCAAACATTAAGACTGGGACAAGTTTGCTCATGATCTTACTTCCTGTGGTTTGATGCAGATTCCCATGAAAAACTCAACTGTTGCACACTTGTATGAAAGTAACCAAAAAATAATGACACAAATTTTGCACTTTGCCTTGAGAAATTTTGGGGGGAGTACTGAGGATGGATGAATGCTTTAAGCAGCCTTCTATTTTTCCTATTAACATGAATAGTGATTAGCTTAGTGCTACACTTACAATAAACGCTTCATACAAATTAGCTATTATTAACACCTGTGAAGTTTCTTGTATTAGTATTTCTCAATAAACTGTCCTTTGAAATCCTGTGGTCCCCAGAAAAGCATTGATAATTAGCTTCAGGCTTAGGGGGGCTCATATGTGATTATGTTAAGAAAATGACTTAATAAACCTCACCTAGGGAAATGAGAAAATTTTCCTACAGGACTAAAAATGTAGTTACTTGAAAATATATCTAAAGACTTGCAATGATGGAAAAGTTCTGGAACTGAATTACGGCAATGGCAGTACAATATTGTGAATGCACTTAATGCTACTTAATTATACATTTTAAAATTGTTGGAATGGTAAATGATATGTTGTATATATTTTTAAGCACAATAACAACTTTTTTTAAAAAAAATCTAAAACAGAAAATATAGTTTGGAGACACTTGATAAAATGCATTTTTAAAGATTATGATTTCAAAATATGTGTGTATAAATGTATGTTAGTCTGATGTTCCTAATTTCTGAGCATAATAACAAAGAAAATGTAAAGGAAAATGAGGCATAGTTTATTTCTTTTCCACTTGTACCATCTGTTCACATTAGCCACAAAGAAACACCCTTATAAAACTCATTAAATTACCACGTTATAATTCAATGTGGTAATAAGTCTTCAACACAATGTACACAGTCGCCAAATGACTATGGCAATGACATCATTGTAATGGTCATAATTACATGACAATTCAGATATTTGATCATTCAAAACATCAGTAAAATAACTATTCTTCTATTTGTCAGCCTCTAAATACCTCTATTCATTCTTTATTCAAGAATCTGTGGCTCACAGGGAGGAGAGAGAAACCCAATCCAGCAATAGCAGAGACAAAGCTAGGACACAGGGAGGAGAACAGGGTTTTGAGGGACAGGCAGGAAAAACCTGCACTGCACTCAGTGGAGAGAGGGAGATGAATGTGCATGAAGCCAGCCTAATTATCGGAGAGTGAAAGGTCATCAAAATCAATTTGCAGCATGATGTACAAAGGTCATTATCAGACTCAGATTTTCTCTGCCCGTTTAAAACACAATAAAAATAAAGTGAGTGCTTTAATAACTATGATTAGTAAAGAAAAAAGCATATCATCGAGCCATCTGTTTAAATATTTGTGCTACCTTAGTTTTACTCAAAACAGCATGAAAGATGAGCAGTGAGGAGATTTTTTTTTTTTCCTATTTGTTTGCTTTTAAAATCCTGACATTTTCTCCGCTGGTTGCCGAGATTTATAACACAGATGAAAGAGCTCCTCTGAAATTACTGCCCTTTGAAATCAATAGCACGGTATTTGTAACGACTTTCTTTTTATTATAGAGCACTTCATTATTATTTTTATTATAATTTTATGGGACAGTCTGGAACAGAATTCATCTTTCACTTATTTGAAGCATCTCACTTACTCAATGGCACAGATGGCCTGCTCTGAGGAGATTTAATCACCCTATGTTAGGGGTGCTTTGAAGCTAAGTAAATGCAAACCACAAGAGAGATAGGCAGCCTAGGCAACAATAACATTATCTTAGCCGCCATTCAAAACTGTGGAAACAGTTCATTTGGGAACTTGGGAAGTTAGGGTTCTAAAACTGGATCTTTTTATTTTTATTTTTTTCTCTCAAAAAATAATATAGTACTATTTTATGGGGTAGGGTTTTGAAATTTTTAATTGTGTCTATCAATAAAAATACATCACATTATGACTCAGTATACCTACATATATGCCTGTTTACATGCCTACTCATATACACATGTGTGTGTGCACACATATTCACACATATTCTAACACAAATATTTTAAGATATTGTACTTGTTACTGAATGTAGAAGGTGATTTTCTATTCTGATTTAATCAATTTTTAATGCTGGTCATAATCCACTAAGCTGTTTTTAATACAAGGATCTGAGCCATCAGTTTGAAAATAAATTCAGGAAGTTTTTTTTTTTGTATTTTAAATAAAATAAATATGTGAGTACTTATCATCATATCTAACATATGGTAAACATTTGGAATTTATTATGTCTTGAATGGATTTTTGTAACTTACCACAGCTTAAAACAACCAAGATATGCTCTGTGTAGAGAAATGACTTCTCTGAATTTTTTTTCCTATTGTTCTAGTTTTGATCCAACTGTGTGGTTCTGAAACACTGAGCAGTTGAATTTATATTATGGAACACTTACAGTGGCAGACAGAAAGAACACAATGTGAAGGAGAAATGTCAAGGAAACACTGAGGCTGGTTTTCATCTTCATCATTAGCTTCTCGGTCCCTTACTAGTTAACACCTATCTATATCGTACAATGTAGGCAAAAGGATAGAAGTGTAAAGTCAATAAAATGCCATGTTACAAAGTCAATAAAATGTGACTATATGAAAAGACAAAGAAGAAAGCAATGAAAAGAATAAAAAACAGAAAAATTGAGGACTTCTCAATTTTTCACATGTTACATTATTCACTTACTTTCTCTGAGTCTGGAAGGAGACTTTTGAAATCTTTAGTTAAATGCAGTATATTCACCTTTAACTTGTCCAATCAAAAAGTAAATATTTATTGTGCACCTATGTTCCTACCTTTAAATATCTATAAGTTTTATGCATGCTTGTTTTCAGTTTAGCAGAATTTATCTTTTTTAAATATTACATTTGTGATAAACTAAATCAGAAATTCAAAATAAACAGGCTGCTTGTGAAATTTCCTGAAACTTGTTCTTTTAGTTAAGAGTGACAATCTGAAAATGACAACAGCATGCCATTTGAAGCTAGGCCAATACAACATTAATCTGTATTAGCTCTACTGGGACCCATGTAAAGCGCACTTTTAAGGAGATCAATGGGCAAACATCAAGAAGAGGTGATAAAAGTCAAATGAGAAAGGCAAGAAAAGATTGTTTCTTTTTCTATGTACACTGATGTCATTTCCATCCAGAGGATGAAAAGATGAGAATTTTTCATCGTGCCCCTTAATATCCAGTATTCGATAGAGGTCGAACATTACCTGTTTATCTTTGCTATAGCTGTAGACCTATGGGATGTTTATTTTGCACTAACCTCTGCAATGACAAGAAAGTAATAATAAAAATTATGAATGGGCCTAAAAAATGATGGGGCCTGGCAGAAACATGCTGTGGGTGAGGAAGGAGTATGAATTCATTATGCAGAAATGCAGCATCAGTAGGAGCAAATAAATTCAGGTAGGAAGGGGAAAATACTGAGCATTTTTTGTCATTATTTCCTTTCATTTCATAGTACTATTTTTGCCAAAAAGTGGTCATTCTGGAACCTCGAGTCCACATTTTTTAAAAAATTCACATTAACAGGAATTTTAGCTTAAGTTCTGGATTAATGATACACTCCTTGATGAGCAGCGGGGCTGGTTAGATTAAGTACTATTGACCTAGAGGCTTTACACACTAAAGTCCAATTACAGAGATGAAATGGTCCTAAGAGGAGACACCTGGAAATGCCCACTTCCCCTCCCTGTGGACCTGAGATAGGATTTGTCATGGTAACTCTCCTGTTAATAAGGGCTTGGAGTTTCAAATAGTATCTGAATGAATGTCAGCTCTTTTCAGAGTGATCCTACTGCCTGGCTGTGCTAGCCAAGTGGTCATATAATGCACAGGTCACATATAGCAGGAAAGTTTCAGCTAAGCTGAAACATTCATTGTGGTAGGGTCTGGGGTTAGACACCTGGGCTGCTGAGCCAGATGGTCTAAGTTGGAACCCTGGCTCCATTATTATAGTTGTATAGGACTGAGTCTTGACATCCTCATCAAAAACTTGGAAATATGATATTTCACGAGGTTGTTGGGAGAATTAAATCCAAGAATCACACCCAGGACATAATAAGCCCAGGATATGCACTACATTTATTTCTTTTTCATAAAACAACCAAGTTCCTAAAATATAAGTGTTTTTGTACTGACTTCTTAAAATAAGGGAGATGAAAATAGTCCCAGATTGCTTAATTCCTTTCTATGTCTTCTGCAGAGGAAGAGAGAGACCTAGACAAATCAGATCATAAATCCTCCATATTTCCAGCTTTTAAAACATTTATAATCTTAATGTCTTTAAAAATTTTCTCAGTTACACATTAAGTTGAAAGAGGACCCTGAAATATGTTATGGTTGTTCAGAGTCGGATCTTGGATAACATGGCTCACACTGAGAAATATGAGGACAAAAATCTTTAGCAGTTGTTCAGTGATTCACTAATACTACTCTTTTCTGGTAACCTACAACTCCAAATCATTGATAAGCATGAACAACTGGACACAAACCTCTATAATGAGGTGTTTTCAGTACCAACTTCACTATATATACTCTTTTCTTCCTACACTGAGCATACTTATTAGTATCTCCCAGTGATTAAATTTCTGATACTTATTCCTAGAGAAAAACATAACTTACAGAGGCATACCTCCCTATTGGTATTTATTATATACCTGCATGTATTAATTATTTTCAATATTCTCAGACACACCTAAAATATTTGTAGGACTCTTCGTTAGGTAATGGTGGGAAAGTATGAGGACATGCACTCCATGAATCTCCACATTGTTATCTAGTTTAGGGCTTCACATACCTGATGATAAGAATTATTAAGAAGTTGTAAACACACAACATGATACAGCCATGCACTGAAAGAGTTAAAACTCCTTCCAGGATGCTTAATATACTATCAAAAGTTTACTTGTATACCAGAGAAAGTTATAGGTTTTTCCAAAGAATTGAAGAAAGAAAAATGACAAAAGTTGTATTTATATTTTGGTTATGTGGTCAAATTCTCCTGTTTTAATTGCAACAGAAAGATTAGCTATTAATTTTTAAAGGTAACTTTAATAAAATATGAATCAATTCATTAATTGGGTATTTAGGTTTGAATTACCAAAACAACACCCACTTAGGACACATCACTTCTGAGGCATTTGCCTTATTGTCAATTTTTCATATTCATCTTCTACTTACCTGTATATATTTTCCTAGGGTCCAGGTACTAATTTACTCTCTATACATGTCTGTTATCTGGGTAAAAAACTTAAAATGTTCTTTTCTTTTTTTTAAGATTTTTGCACTCTTGAAATCTAGCTCCCAAGTGAAGAAGTTGAGCAAGCTTCCAAGCAGATAATCAGGCACCTTTTTAACAGCCCAACCACTGGCTAGATAAAGGAGTAAGACCATCCAGGACCTCAGCCCTACAGGACCTACCAACTGACTAAAAATGCATTTGTGAGTCCAGTCCAACCATAGGGAGCCGAGAGAAGTTATCTTAGGTAGGCCTGCACAATGGTTAATAAATTGTGACCACAGAAATGAACATTATATCCCCAGAAATTTGGGGGGGTATTTTGTTAATTATAAGTAGCAATAAGTTACTTATACAGAAATTATAACTAGAAGTAGACTGTTGCTGAAATAGACACCTGAAGTATAAGACTTTGGAGGTTATAGCTGGGTGGGTGAAGTCCAGACAAGAGGGAAGGACATTGTGAAGCTCATCCCATTGAGAGATGGAGCTTCTTTTCCCAACATCTGGACCTGGGCTGGCTTAGCCACTTTTTTGACTAATAGAATGTGACTGAAGTGATATTATGATGTTTTGAGCTCAGGCCCAGGGGGCCTTGCAGTTTTTACTCTTGTTTCCTTGTAATCTAGATATCATGAAGAGGAAACCCAAGCTAGCCTGTTTGGAAGCCACAGAAAAGTATAGACTCAGCCTGGACAGTAATTCGTGCAACTGCCAGACATATGGGTGATACCCTCTGGGAACAGTTAGTCACCAGTCACCCTGCCCAGGAAACTTTTCTCCAATCAGAAACAAATTATCCCATCAGGGCCTGCACAAATTATTGTTTGAATACAGTTTCTTTTTTAGGTAGTACTAGATAAATGATAAAAGAATAGAGACTCAGATTGTGTTCATTATTGTTATTTCATAGATACTCTACCAATCAACAATGAGCAGTATAAAGGGTTTATACCAAATATGAATGCAACTGAGTGGATGCTACCCCCCCATTACTTCCTTCTTTCCTCCCAGCAGCATGCTTACTGGTCAGTGGAGCCCAGAAGGCACACCTAAGGCACCAACTCTTAGGAACCTTGGGTTGTGAGCTCACTGGGCAGGAGGAGACAATACCATATACAGAATTTATCTATGCATCTAGTTCTGTTTCCTTCAGAATCTCTGCATCTAAGCCAATCTGATCACATCTTGCCTAATTTCCACAAGCAGTACTTGTTGTTCCATAGAAATTGAGAATGTACCTTTGGGGAAAATAAATAAATACATGTGTAAGTGAAAGCCCATTTTCACACTTAGTGAAAATCTGCCAATTGGACTATAGGTTCCCATATGAGGAAAAGTTATTATTATTAATAAATACCAATAACAAAATATTAATGGCTTTCAAAAATAGCATCAAATATATGTAAGGTTTCTTAATGAACCTTTTCTATTTCTTAAACTTATAATTTCTTCCTTCAACAACATTATTGTGAGGAGGCTTCCTGGAGCCATAAAATTAACAGGAAACTGAAAAATCATTCAGTCCAAGCTAAAGAAACCTAAAGAAAACAAGGTCCAGAAGGATTAAAATCAGCCTAAAACACACACACACACACACAGTTGTCAATAAAAATCAAGAGTTAAAACTCAACCCTTCTGATGTTCAGACTAGTCTCCTGACCACTGCTGTGCATGGCCTTCTGCACATGCTAATGAGAGATTAGTCACACACCATAGGTAATTGTCTGTGTAGAGCATCCTCACTCCTTGCTTTTACCGCCTCTGCCTGCATCATGACTCTTGGCACATTTTTTTTTTTAATGGTCAGAAGTTTAATATTTTTTCAGCTCACTGTTATCTTGGACTCTACTTGAAAAATATCAAATCTGAAGTCAGCAGTTCTCTAAACACAATTAGATATTTGTATAATATTTGTTGTAAAATACTCTCCCCACTCCCCACCCTCTTGAATAGAGATTGAGTAGGAAAGAGTCCTTGCAGTGGAAGGGTATAACACAGAAGGGGCTTCCTCTCCACCTGCCCTTTCAGAGGAGGCCACTAAGTTACTCCTCAGTTTTGGTTGACCCACCCTTTGACACTGTCACTGACTTTATGGCAGAAAATAGGAAGACTTAGGAACTGCCACACCTCTTGATTTCTCTCTGTTGGCCCATAGATTTTTATTCATCACAAGTTGCTTTAGAAAATTTAAAATAATTAACAATACCTGTGTACTTCTTGTTTCCTCTGGGCCCTTTTCTTCTTTCTTTGGTGAAATAGCTTAAAAGGAATAAAGAACATGTTTCACTAGAAAACAGTTTTTTCAGTACAATAATTTGTGCTTTATGTCATATTATAGTGGTGAGTGTAAATTTATCTTTGTACCATGTTTTATTAACTTTTTCCCCCATAGAGTTACATCAAAAGACTCTATAAATAAATGATGTGCTCAGCCTACTAGTTTCAACATGCATACCAATTATGTCTATTGGTTTCAAAACACGTAGTCAGTACTTTAAACAACCATGATAATATCACAAACTAAAATATTCAACATCTCCATCTCAGTATGCTGTCACCATGCAGACAACGATTAGAATTGGTAATGAGTTTCACTGCCGGTAAGTTGAGTGGCACGATGCATTTTATATCCATGCTCATGTCAAACTCAATTAACATTCTAGCACAGTATATTTCAAAGATGCTGACCTAATCTCAGAGAACAATGCATTTATTTATTTCATGTTAAAATTCTTTTACATTTTATGCAGGATTCTTGAAGCAAAGATGTTTATTGTCACGATAATATTTTAAGTTGGAGATTCTGAAGAAATGAGAAGAATACTTAGTTTAAAAATCTTACTGTAAATGATGCATGTCATTGCTGTAGGAAAAAAAAAGAATCTCTCAAGCTATAAAACTAGAGAATTTTAAAATAATATGGAGATCCTGTCTCCTTGCAAATGACACATTTCAAATAAGCCAGAAGTATGTGATTCTTTTGTATACCCACCAAGACAGCACATGAAATTAAATTTTATCAGAGAGAAATTTGTACTTACCTACTTGTTTATCTATCTACTTATTTATTTATTTATCTTTCTATGTACTATCTCTATTATTAAAATAAAAACCAATCAATATAAGATTCATATGCAAAACTTAAAAATCCAGTGTCTTATTATATGCATGCAGATGTATGTGCCAGATCTTGTTTTCTCCACTAACAACATACTACAGTAGATAATAAGCCTTTTAACATTGTCAGAGTAGTTACTTATTCACAATCATAGTGGGTAAATATTCAGGAAGTTTAAAAATCATTGTTTAGGAAAACCCACCAAATATAACTATACTGATGTGAAGTTTATATCAAGTATCAACTGCTAAAGGCTGTGGAAAGACTTTGTCAACAGGATGGCAGAACATCTGGATAAAAAATAAATGAATGATGCTGTCAAATTATCCATCTGTTTTGTCTACACAGAATGAACAGCCATATTCTCAGAAATACTAAGCTGGTTGGCACAGTATAGACAAAACATCCCACTATTGAAAGTTCTTTCACAGTTAACATCTGGATGGTTGAACATTTTTTTTTCATTACATCTGTATATCGGCAAGTTGCATAGATATGGCTTTGCTATACAAGATTACTATTGCACTTTTTTAAAAAATTTGTCACATATAGTTCACTTTAAAAATCTTTTAAAATTATATCTGCTAAAATCCCACAGTGTGGAAAAATAGATTTGTGAACAGCCCAGAGGGGTGAAAATCAAAATCTTTGGTGTTGCAGAATAAATTTGATTGAACATGTATACAAAGAAAATGGTAAAACAATACTGAATATAAGGATAACATTTTGCTTCAAATGTGTTTCCCTGGTTGAGTCGGTATTTTGAAGCTGGCAAGTACCACCAGAATACTATTTCAAGGAAATAAATGTTTCAGTGCCTTTGGGTGTGTATAGAAAGAATGACTTACAGAAGGTTGAAGTCAGAGTTCCTTGGATTTTCTCTATTCTTTTTAAGTTCTTGATGACCTATGTACATTTATTTTATCATCTTTGGCAGCCAACCTAACGGAGCTGACCTCACAATGTAGGAGAATATAATGTAACTAGTGCCAGTAGGTTGACAATATAACAACCCAGAGGGGAAAATAAACTCTTTGGCATCATTTCTCTGCAATTCTTTTGTTTTTTCCAATGAAGTATGCCTGTGCTAAAATAAGTTGTTTTTATAAAGATTCATTGCTAGGAGAGAGAAATCTCAATCTGCTTTCTTTATGTACCTTAAACAAATGCTAATTCTCTGTAGAAAGATTATATTTAAAATTTAAAACCAGGATGAAAAAAAAAACTTCATAATTCACTACTTTTGGCCAGGAAGGAGGGAAAAAAAATCTTTCATTTCTTGTTCAGTAGTGACATTTCTGATGAAAGCATTTGTTTCAGTCAATTTATTTTTGTAGCAAGCTTGATTTTATGTAGCATCACATGGCTCAGTTCATTGACTTCTTTTTGTGTGTGTGAGCAGGCACATCTCCAGAATGAAACTAAGGTCCAACTTGGAACTGAATGCAGGTGTCTTCAACTGTGCATTTAAAACAGAGGAGATCCAGGATGCACTGCTCAAAATATTAGCATGAATCTAACATAAATACAAAGCTGTTCTCCTGGCAGAAAAGTAGCAAGGCCTTGTACCGAACTCACTGCAGCAGAAGATTTTATTGATGCAATTGCCTGGGGTGCATTGGGCCACTATGTCCATAAAAATAATAATTAAGCTGTGGGATGTATTACATTCCACAGCTTAGCACCTGAACTAACCTCGGAGCATTGATTAATTTTTCTATTTGTATGTTTTGGTTTTTGTCATTGAGTAAGGTACCTATGGGCCATTTATCATCTTTCATTTCTATTTTACTTTTATCACCACTTCCATTAAAATGGAATCAAGAAAGCAATGGAGTTTCCTTTCAATAAAACAATAGGAAGGCCTATCTCCTGAATGTGTTTTTCTGATTGAAATCATCTAGGTTTAGTTGCATTTTTATTTGAAACTGATGAGTTGTAGTCATGCTGCCTGATTGCCTATATAGCATGGGGAAAGTGATATGTGAATAACACACCAACTGCAGCTGTTTTGTTTGACTTGTTTTAAGCAATGCTCACAACTCAATCTCACATGACCCAAGGGATTCCACCCCCAACCCCAGAAAGACTGATGGCAACTTCTCACAGGCACAAAGATCATCGGTCTGGAAGTTCTGTCTCCCAGACCCTCTTATAAATAGCTGTGATATAAACCCAGACTGTTTGGCACCCTCATACACATTTTGTATCCATACGCATGCCTACCCTGTTAGAATGGAGAACAACTGGAACAAAAATCCAGTGGTATCTAGCAGATTGCCCTGGCTGTCAAGAACTCTCAATAAAATGCTGAGAGGGAGGGACCTGCTGGCCTTTTCTTTATGATCCTTGCTTACATATTTCCCTAAAAATTTGCACTGTACAACAAGGTAGAATTTTTTTCCAAGTTCTGGTATGTAACATGTAGCCATGAAAAAGAAAGCTGGCTTACCTGAAAAGTACTGGGCTGCATTCTTTTGAAAGGGTAAGATGTGTCTCTCAGTCCAAGTCTGGACCAAGTAACGGTATAAGGCAGAAGAGGGCAGCAGGAAGGCCTCTGTGTCATTCTAAGAAGTGAGAGTGACAGCAGAAATCTAGGCTGGCTTCATCTGCACAGATGATGTCTGGTGCTTGTTAAGAACAGGTTAGGAGTTGCCAGTAGGAGCTGTAAAGAGAAGTTAGAGAATGGCAGGAGCCAAATAATTAACTCAGACAAAAGCCTGGGACACGAAGTCTACAATAAGCAAAATTGCTAGGGTTGAGAAATTCTGAATCATTCAGAAAGCTAGTTCTAATAACAGATCTTTTAAAGCAACAAAAACCAATAAACCTAGCAAAAATAAGGAATAAATAGTGGCCAGATAGAGAGCTCGTTTGAAAGGTTTTAGGAGAGAGGAAAGCATCATCGGCAACTCATTAGCAGTTTCATATAAAGGCAAGAATGAAATTTGCTGAATCTTTAACAACTATTTTCTAAAAAGGTTCAAGAGAAAAAATGAAAAACAGAATGAGCAAGACCAAGAGATAAAACCCACTTGCCATCCTGACTTTAGCAGTTCTCTAACAGAAACAGTATGATAGATGCTAAATGCTCTATTGACAGCTGCACTATCTCACACAATAGTCTTTCAAGGCTATTTTGAAAATTTTTTGAAGCAGTGGTGTTTTTCACTGATCAGTCTACTTTGTGTCCCAAGAGTGCATTTGCAAGACAATTGTCCCAGGTTATCGATGTGACCAAGTGCCTAGATGTGAACAGACACAAATCACATTGATTTACAACAGGGTGCCTTTTATTTTTATTTAACCTGTGGGTTTTTCTGTTTGCATAATAAAGCTAGAAAACCTTTTGTTTCTTGAAAAGTACTGTTCTTAATTATATCAACAATATATGTATACTGAAAATATATCCATGACATTGGTATTACACAGATTGGGTAAATCAGGGTAGAGATTTCATTTTCTTCCTCAGGTTAGCAATGCTAATCTGCCATGCGTATCAGGCCCATTAATGCCACTTTCTTATTCAAAGGACAGATTATTTGAAGGATGATTCCCATTGTACCATTACACTATCAATTTGTCAAATTTATGATGATGTTGATTGATGAAAGTGCTGCATAAAAAACATTAAGATCCTTTTTTTGTACTTCAATACTTTATCAAACTTGTTTTATAGCTAAACATTTTTAAAAAGACCAATTCTCTCTCTTAAAGAATGTAAACATTTGCTTTAAGTGGGAATTCTCAAGCTGCAAAGTGAGCAGTAAAAGGCAAAACTGAACTAGAAATGAACATGACAAGGTGCAATATTCAGTGTGTAGATCAGATTTGATTTTGCATAAGAAATGAATTTCTTCAGCTTATTTTTTTTAATTAGCTTAAGGAAGTGCATTCAGGAGCCAATAACACAGACTTACGGGAACTGAATTACTGAAAGGGTTCCGAGCCCAGGCTCTAAATCACAGACCTTGAGCTGATCTCATAATTAACACCAAGCTGAAACACTGCATCAAATGCTGCAGAAACATCTTCACCAAAGAGTGGATGGGGAGCCACACGATCATTATACCCTGGCAGCAGCATCTCTGGCAACTACAAAGCTTCGCTGAAGGTGGGGAAGTCAGTTGCCTCAACCTGCTAAGCAGTTAATGTCCTGTCAGGCACATCTGTGTTTACTACCATCAGATACTCCCAGCTGTTCACATTGCCTCTGTTTGATGGTCATTCTGGGACCTGCCTGATGTTGGGAAGCATGTTATTAGAGAAGTAAATTCCTTTCTGAAGATTGATCAAGGAGAGATGTAAACTCTGGGATGCTGGAGTTGGTTCATAAAACTGAAGACATAGCCATGTACTGGCAATTACAGAAGGTGAATTTATTTAGGACTCTTGACTGGGGCTTCAGGAGTCTGTTATTGGTTTGAGTTAAATTATGCTTTAAAATCATTCCTGTGGTCAGGTTCTTTTAGAGCAACTCAAACAGATATAAACTATTCCTTTTCTGGAAGCAGCTGGGTACTATGCAGGGAAGGAAAAATAGCCACTGAGATGCCAAGAGTACTCTCTTAATCAAACAGCTGCTTACTGAGGCCTATTGAACCAGGTGCTTTCGATATAAAAGATAAAGTAATGTCTTTATGCTGGAGATCCTAACTGTGCTTCTCCCAGGTGCACTCTTAGCCCTTTCTGACCCTGCTCTTGCAGTGAGGCTGTCCAGGATCCTGATTCCTCTGGCTCATCCCACTAGTTTCAGCCCACAGAGGCCTCTGGCAGGAGAGGAAGGGAGGGAAACCAGCTCTCTCCCCCGCCACCCATAGCCACCTCCCTCTGGCCTCCTCAGAAGTCAGCTTCTCTTCAGGACTCTTTTCCTCTAGCTTTCTTTGAGCCTATCGTGGTAACAGCCTCTCTGTTCCTGTTTTGGAGTACTGCACATCCCTGTGGTCTCCTTCCCTTCTGCTCACATCTTTCTTAATACTGCCTTTATTAAACCCTCCTTGAGCCCTAGTCTGTCTGACTGCACCACCTTGTTGGCATCCTGACATAATATCCCTGCCCCAGGTGAGCTTCCAAGCTCTCTGGTAGGTAAAATAAATACTGCAAAATCAATTCTATAACACCTAGCGTTGGGTGGTTGCAGGTGGCTAGCATGCGGCTGAACCACACAGATCTCGACGAATCTCCAGATGATGGTGTTGTGAAGTATATGCTGAGATCACCTAATTCCCTCTCTCTTACTTGGAGACTTGGAAGATAAAGGAAAAGGGAAAACCTAGAAATCAGGGTAACTTTCAGGATTGGCCATGATCTCATACCAAGTTTCATTTCTATCTCTGGGATTTAACACTCCACAACCATCTCTCAGACTTTCCTCCGCCAGCTTGACAAGAGGACTTTGCCAGGTACTCTGGACATACTTGCAATAAAATATGAAATATTTTGGTCTGTGCAGACACACTACACTCACTTGACAGGTAAGTCCTGAAACATTTAAGCTTAGCTTCTCCTACTACAGCTTTAATACTATAGTTGGCCATTTTGGGACACTCAAGCCTTGGTGACAAGAGTTGGTGAAAGAAGCAACCTAGCACTAATTCAAAAAATACTACAGAAAGGGAGAGTGACCAACTGCTCCCCTACTTATCTTTTACTTCTTTTTTTCCTCAGGCCATTAAATCTGGTAATCCACTAATTAGGAGATAAAATTCAGTTGCAATCATTAACCAAAATGAAATTTAAAGATGGGTCTGAGGAGAGAAGTTTTCAGTGGCTACAATCACTGCTTCCCCAGGAAAACTCATTGTTCTAGTATGTAACCACTGTGTCTTTCCTGGAGTGATCCTGCAAAGCCAAATGGCTCAGAACCCTCAGGAAGCTCCCACTGGGGTAAAATAAGAAGTCTAGCTGCTCTCTCTGCCTTCATTATTGGTTATGGACCACCTTCCTGGAACTACTCAAGGTCTCCACAGGTACCGCAATTTCTTTTTTTGGCAACTTTATTGTCAGACAACCTGCCTTCTGGGGATGTTGTTATCACTGTAGTCAATTGATGTTTCTGACATTGTTCTTGGCAGGCTTGGTTTTCCAGGGCACTGCTTGGGAAGAAAACATGAAAAACCTGGCACTGTTTTCTATCTTGTGTGTTAGATTTCAAAAGAATAGAGGTAGGAAAATTATACTTTTGAAAAAACAGGGCATCACTGAAGAAGGATAGAGAATAGTATTAGCCTGAAAAACTCTTGTCACTGCCAGTCTTTCTAAGTGAACAGCTTGAAGTTGTGTAGTTTATTTTTCTTTTAACCACATATAACATATTCACCAGATTTAATTAATTAAAAGTCAGATATGCAAGGCTGGGGTTGTGCTTCAGTGGTAGAGCCCTCGCCTCACACGTATGAGGCACTGGGTTCGATCTTCAGCACCACATAAAAATAAATTTTAAAAAGGTGTTGTGTCCAACTACAACTAAAATAAAATAAAATAAAATAAAAATCAGATACACAGAAAAAACATGAGTAGTTCATTTTATCTTAAACTATCTGAACTTTCAATACTTATTCATACCCTTTTTATTTTCCAACTCCCCGTCTCCTACCTAATGTTCAGAGAAAACCTACTAAGTGCCCAATCGAGTCTGAAGTGTAATCTATTTCCATCATTTAAACCACCCCTATACACAAAGTTCAGTCTTTTGAGTAAGCGTGTTTTATATGAGATGATTTCCATCCACTATATGTTTCCTTTAGGTGTTGGTCTTGTTGAAGGTATGACTCAGAAGTAGGGAGGAATTAGGGTTCTTATATCCAAACTTCATCTTGTGTTAATTCTTGTGCTTATTGTGCTGAAGGTGCTTGCAGCTAAATTCTGTAGCTGTAATAATTTATGACACCCATTGCCATCCAGGCCCAGGAGCAACATTCTCTGGTGCTTATGACTTCATCTGGGTTTTTGCTTTTTCTATAGACTTCCTTGAGGTATGGCTATGACTTCCATGTGGCCCCATCTTGGTTCTTCCCTCACTGCCCATGCCAGAGAACCATCCTACTCCACATCAGCGATCCTTCTAGCCTCCTCTCTAATCAGACTCTGATATTACACTTTCTGTATACACAACTTGGAAGTCAGAGGAAGTTTGGGAAAACTGAATGTCACAGGTTACCTCTGTCTGAAGGTGGGACACCATGGCATTGATGTGTCCTATCTTTGGCAGAGATAAGAAAGTCTTCTCTAGAATCTAAAATACAATAAGGCAAAAACTGCTATGTGCAAAAGTCCTTTCAAGGCATTTAAAGTGCCTCACCTTCTCTAAAATAATCCCTAGGTATGAAAATTTGGAAGACATAAATATGATCATATAACTTTCCTTTTAGTTCTCCTCTTCTCTCTTCACACCAATCTCCATGCTTCAAAAGAAGGAAGGCCTTCATTTAAAACACACATTTATGCCTCCCTTCTTAATTGCCACCTAGCCCCAATAAAGGTAGAAATATTTTCTTTGTATATTGTGAATATGTACCAATCAGATAAAATAATGATAATTGTT